TCTATTCTGTGCTACCGCTCTCTCCTCTGCAGGTTTCGTCACTAGGTTTTATTGAGCTTTACTTCAGTTGAGCTTTACAGAGATGTAAACGTCTTTGCCACGTGAATTTTAAAAACGGTGTGAATGCAGGTTTGAGCGTCTTGCAGTCTATTGCTCTAACTTGATTTCCTGGCTAAAATGTTTTGGGTCAGCCTAAACATGGAAGCCTGCGTACGAGAATGAAACGAAGCTGTGAAAGCAGTGCATTGAAAACGGAAAAACCCGATATAAATATGAGTGCAGACTGCGTCTTCTCGTATGGGTGGAACTATTATGGACAGCGATGGAATGCCAGACTGATATTTTAGACTAATACCCCAGTAGATTCCTTATTAAAGCCCGTTTTCCACTAGGCGAATTTGTTTGCATGATGCGAAACCGAAATTCGGCAACGTGATTGGTTAGTGAAAAAAATCGCCACAAAGAACTTTTTCGCTAGCCAATTACGTTGTAAAAAAAAGCATTTGCTTCACACTACGGGAAGCAAAACGTTCTTGGCTAGCGAAAAAGTTCTTCATGGTGATTTTTTCACTATTCAATCACGTTGCCAAAATTCGGTTTTAGCATTGCATGCGCAAACAAATTCGCCTGGTGGAAAACAGGCTTTACTTTGTGAGAAACCTAGTTAAACTTGAAAATAGAGCGGGCATCTACACATAATAATTCAATAATAATTTGTAAGCTTTTAGCCAATAGCAAAACAAGAACAAAGTACAATGAATAATAACCAAGAAAGTAATCGCAGTATCAAAAATATTTCTTTGTGCAGGAACAAATAGCGTCAATTTTAAAGATATAAAGAAATATTATTTTTAAATGAATTGAAATTTTCAATTAACACAGTATACAATTTATAAAATGTACAATTTTTCTTTCTAGCTAGGTTTAACGAAAGATGAATATATACTACTACCCAATAAAAGGATTTGTTCTGTGTGCAGATTGTCAAAAGGCATTCCAAAATATCGAAAAAAGTGTGCAATATTAAATTGCAACACGCCAAGAAAGAAACTTAAATTAAAGGAATTAAGTTTGAGCGAGGAAAATGAACATGTGATACAAGAAAAATTTCGAGTTCATAACTGTAATGTTTATACTTATTATGAACTCATTATGAATAATTTGCATGAATAATTAGTGGACATGTATTTTGTATAAAAGTCGGTAAACTAAGTTAATAAAGGGTTAGTCAATTTAAACTTAGAACGAGGAGTGGACATTACATTTTGGCGACGAGGAATCAAGGATGGCTGCTTTACCGACATTTCCAGCTTTTGATTTACAAGCAGGAGATCTTAGCTGAGAATGGAGAAAGTATGTCTCAAGATTTGAGAACATGCTTTTGGCCATGAATATAACAAGCACTGTTAGAAAGAAAGCAATGTTATTACATTACATTGGGGAAGAAGTCAACGACATATTCAAGACCTTAGAGGTACAAGCAGCTGATGAAAACGAAGATGTATTTACGAAAGCAGAAAAGGCGTTAAAGAACTATTTCACCCCGCAGAAGAATCTTGAATTTGAAGTCTACAAATTTCGACACGCCAAGCAACTACCGGGAGAAAACATTTCTGCATATTTTACTAGATTAAAGCAATTGGCAAAGTACTGTGAATTTCATGACGAGAAAAGAGAAATAAAGACCCAGATAGATCAGAATGGTATTTCGTCGAAGCTTCGAAGGAAAGCCTTGCCAGACCCTGAAATAACGTTGGAGAAACTTATTCAGATCGTGAAGTCTATGGAGCTGTCCGAAGTTCAAGCAGATGGCATCGAAAGTGCAAATCAACTCACAAAGAAACTGGCCGCCGTGAAATTAATCAACAGCGGAACGAAAGCCAATCGAAGTTGAAGTGCCGCTTTTGTGGTTATCAACATGTCCTAGGCAAAAATAATTGTCCTGCCTATGAAAAGCAATGTCGTGGATGTCTGAAATGGAATAATTTCAAGGCCTGTTGCAATGAGAAACGTGAAGCGTCGAAGCAAAACGAACAGTCAAAATTCGCGAAGCAAAATGAACAGTCAAGAAGCGGGCAGTTAAAAACCCCCGCGTGAGGCAGTCGTCGAGTAAACATTTTAAATGGGCCCAATGTTGAATCTAGCTCAGAAGATGAGTATGTGTTTTCAACGTTGACAGTCAGTGCTATGTCGCATCAGAAGCTACCAAAATTTAAAGTCAAAATAAATGGGACTCCGATTAATGTTATGGCGGACACTGGCGCAAGTGTGAACATTTTAGATGAAGCTACCTTTGCTAAACTGAGAACAAAGCCTAAATTGAGCGGAACAAACAAGAAAATATTTCCATATGGCTCAAACAAACCGCTACCACTTGTGGGCAAGTGTGATTGCGAAGTAGAGACAGAGAAAAAGTTTAGCGTGGAAACTTTCTTTGTTGTCAAAGGCACAACTGGCTGCTTGGTAAGCTGGAAGGGCTCACAAAGGCTTGGCCTGGTTCAAGTAGTCCAATCGGTCGAACAGCCCGGAAAAGATAAAGTAGAGTAATTGGTGGAAAGTTACAGTGATCTATTTGAAGGACTTGGAAAGTTGAAAGGATTCCAGGTTCGTTTGTATGTCGAAAATAATGTACAACCTATTGCGCAGCCACCGCAAAGGGTTCTGTTTCGTGTTCGGGAAAAGCTCGAGGAACAGTTATTGAATGACGAGAAACTAGGAGTTATTGAGAAGACAGAAGGTCCTACTCTGTGGGTATCACCAGTGGTCATGGTCCCAAAGAAAGAAGGAAAGATTCGAGTTTGTGTGGACATGCATCAAGTTAACAAGTCCATAAAGAGAGAAAGAGATATTTGAGAACGTTTTCAACTCATCTTGATCTTCGATGATTTCGAAGATTGAACTTTGGAATTAATTGTGCTGCTGAAATTTTTCAAAATGCGATTCGAGAAGCACTCAGTGGTCTAAAAGGAGCCTTAAACATAAGCAATGACATTCTGATTTATGGAACAGATGACGACGATCATGACGCCAACTTGGAAGCTGCACTTGAAAGGCTACGAGAGCGTGGGCTCACGTTGAATAAAGGGAAATGCATATTTAAGAAGAAAGCCTCTCATCTTCCAAGGATACATTTTCTCAGAGCACGGAATTTCACCCGACCCAGCAAAAGTGACAACAATTAAAGAATTCGCTACACTGAAAGATGCCTCGGAAGTGAGAAGCCTACTCGGTATGACGAACTTTTGTTGTCGTTTCGTTAAGAATTATGCTACATTGACCCAACCATTACGAGAACTCACAAAGAAGGATGTACCATTTCTGTGGACAGGGAAACAAGAACGAGCATTGGAGAAACTACGTGATGCCCTTACGAATGCTTCAGAAAACGCATACTCCGATTCTACCAAGACGACCGAAGTCTTCACTGATGCAAGTCCCGTCGGTGTTGCTGCTGTGCTCACTCAGAAGGAACCTAACAGTGATGAAAGAAAGATAGTTGCCTATGCCAGTCAAGCCCTGTCAATAACAGAACAGAGAGAGAAGCCCTAGCCATTGTTTGGTCATGTGAGCATTTTCATTTATACCTGTACGGAGGAAGATTCGCCGTATTTACTGACCATCAACCGTTGGTCACGATATTCTCAAACCCAGCATCAAAACCGTCAGCTCGTCTAGAAAGATGGTCCCTGCATTTACAACCTTATGACGTCACAATACGCTATCAGCCTGGAACTGAAAATCCGTCAGATTATCTATCGAGACACCCGCTTCGTGATGTTACTCCGAACAGCCGTCAAGAGAAGGTAGCTGAAGAATTCGTTAACTTCCTGGCAGAAACCTCTATGCTTAAAGCCATCAACCTGACAGATTTGAGGTCGGCAACGAGACATGACGCTACCCTACAAGCCATAATGAAAGCTGTTCAAACCGGGAAATGGCACGAAACCTCCAAAGATGCAAGAATCAACATTTCAGATTTTCAGAGTTTTGAGAAAGTAAGAAACGAACTGTGTACTCTACCCGACCTAGTCTTGAGAGAACATAGAATTGTGATTCCCGAAGCATTACGAGAGAAAGTGATAGATATAGCTCACAAAGGTCACATGGGAGTGGTTAAAACCCAAGCATATTGATACGCGAGAAAGTTTGGTTTCCAAAGATCAGTCGATTGGTTGAAGAGAAAGTGAAATCTTACCTTGCCTGTAAAGTAACGACGCTGAGAAACACGAGAGAGCCATTACAAATGTCTGAGCTACCGAAACAACCATGGACCGAGCTGAGTATAGACTTTGGCCTGGCACCTACTGGTTCTAATGAGTACATACTAGTCCTTATCGACAACTATTCAAGATTTCCAATCGTTGAATTGGTACGATCAACGTCTTCCAACGCTGTCATACCTTGTCTGGATAAGATGTTTTCTGAATATGGAATACCTGAAGTACTGCGATCAGATAATGGTCCTCCATTTAACAGTCGCGAGTTTAACAAGTTTGCGAAGCATTTGGGTTTCACTCACAGAAAAGTTACCCCTTACTGGCCCCGGGCTAACGGTGAAGTGGAGAGGTTCATGCGCACCGTGAAGAAGGTGATAAAGGAAAACAAAGTTTGGAAGAAGCAAGAAATGTACAAATTTTTACGAAACTACAGAGCTACTCCTCACGTCAACCAAAACCCCACCAGCCACTGCACTGTTTGGCCGTCCAATGAAAACTCGTTTGCCACAAATAGGAAAAAAGTCCAACTCACAGGATGACTTTATATGTAAAAACGATGATCATGCCAAACTGAAGATGAAGTACTATGCTGACCTGAAATCCAATGTCAAACCCAGCCATTTAGAAGGTGATACAGTACTTCTGAAGAACGACTACAAAAGTAAAAGATTTCCGCCGTATGATCCACGTCCATATAAAGTGGTGGAGAAGAAAGGATCAATGGTCACTGCAACGAGAGACTCCAGATCAGTAACCCGTAATTCATCTTTCTTCAAGCCTATTGTAAAGCCGGAAAATGAAGAAACAGAATGCCCAGAACTTTGTGTTCCAGAAAGATCACAAGAAAATCCTGACATCTCTGAAGACGCTGAATGCAAAACACAAGAAAATTCTGACGTCACCAAAGATCCTGAACGTGAAGCACCTCACACAGAAAATCCCTCCATAGTGACAGAAATGCCTAGATATCCAAGAAGAGTAAGGAAAAAGCCAGACAGATATCAAAGTTGAGCATATGGACAATGGTATTATAAAATTTAGTATTCATTGAGATCATGAACATTTGACATTTAGTAACTTAATTCAGCTTAAGAAATTATTGAAACTCTACCTAATTTGCATGGTACGTTTTTAAAAAAAATTATAAAAAAGAGAAAAGTCTTGTATATATTTATGACAAACACTTTGACATTTAGACCTATAATAATTTATTTATTTGAACTTTAACTCCAAAGAAGGGAGAGATGTAATGTTTATACTTACTATGAACTCATTATGAATAATTTGCATGAATAATTAGTGGACATGTATTTTGTATAAAATCGGTAAACTAAGTTAATAAAGGGTTAGTCAATTTAAACTTAGAACGAGGAGTGGACATTACAATAACAGCGATAAGGTTTGTCAAGGTTGTTTATATAAAATAAATAAATATATCACCAATTACCTTAAAGATGATCACACCTACAAAATAGACACCAATTTCAACCACAACAGCAGTTATCTCCAGCAACATGATCTTGCACCGTCCACAACGACCACAACAACAAGCAGTTATCTCCAGCAACATGATCTTGCACCGTCCACAACAGCCACGACAACAAGAAGTTATCTCCAGCAACGTGATCTTGCACTGTCCAGAATGGCCACGACAACAAGCAGTTATCTCCAGCAACATGGTGGTGGTAAACAACCTGTTCTTACGCTGAAGGATGGCAAACAACACCATCTCTACGAGAAATATAAAGTTGAATGCTCCAGAGAAGGCGGCAGACCAATAAGTGAAACAAAATTCTTGCAGGGACTAAATGCTGGTAATTTTAAAGAAATGGCAGAGATGGCAGGATTATGCAACATCTGTGATGAAGTAGGAGCTCGAAATTTTGAAAGTTTGAACACACTTCTTTCGAACCTCGAAGAAGTAGTCACATCCTTTGAAACATCAATAATGCAAGAGAACAATACCGATGATAACTTGGAGAATAGCTGTTTGGCATACAATGTTATTATGGTTGAGCTACCACCACACCAAGACGACAAGGAACAACTCAATCCGCTCCCCAAAGACAGCCCAGTAGTCATGATTGAAACAGAACCCAGTGTGTGCAACCTATCTTTGTCTGTTAAGGGACTAAAAAAAAGAACAAAGGCTTTCAGAGGCCATCTGCTGTCTGACTTCCAACATTCACTAAGCATTACCTTGAACTCCCCATGCCATTGTATGACCTGGCTTCTTGAAGGAAATGCTCAATGTAAAGGCCACAGTGAAATGTGCAATAAATGTTGTTATTTCAAGATGTCCGTACGTTTATTAACAATACTCATTTGACGAAAAACAGAAAGACTCACTACCACAAACTTCTTGGAAGCATCGAGGCAAAGATGCACAGATACATAGCTCATCTTGTTCGAGGAAAGTATCAGCGAAGCAATTCTTGAAAGCCATCAACAAGTCTACTCCTGGTCATGCAATTTTAGTCTGCGACTATATGATGAAACTTTTGTTACAAAAGTTTTGGGAGCCACAAAAAGATTGGTATGCTAAGAAGGGTGTTTCTGTACATGGATGTATGTTCTTCTTCCGATCCATCTTCAGAAATTCAGATTGAGATTCATGACTTGTTCTCAAATGGGGACTGTACGCAGAACTGTTTTTTTAGTGCCAGCGCATTAGAAGCATCTTTCAAGAATTTTCAAGCTTGCCATCCCGACATCAACGTCCTTTCGATGTGGTCCGATAATGGGCCTCACTACCACAACACCTCACTTATACTTTGGTTGATGCATATGTCCGAAATTTGTCTGGTGAAGGTGGACAGATACTCATTCTTTGAAGAAGAATGGGAATGATGTACAAGTCAGCGAAGACATAATAACCAAAGGCACAAATGACCATTTGAAAGGCACTCATGTATATGAAATACAAATCAATTGCACCCAAGAACCGCCAAGTGCTAAAACGTGGGCAGGAATAACAAGTTACAGTGAGTTTATTTATCACTACGAAAAAAATGTTTGTGTAAAGATGGAAGTAAAGGAACAAACAAATCTATCAACAAGCAAAACGCTAAAAAGGAGTTGTCAAAGTTATGGCCATCATACCTGTGCTCAGAAAGTATATCAACTGGGGTAACATCACAGTTTGACATAGAGCAATCCCAAACCAAAGTCCCTCGATTTGAAAAAAAAGCAAAGAAAATATGTAAACCTAAAACAGGAACCACAACACCATCCGGTAAGGAGGAGACACTATATCCTGAAAGAAAATGTGGTGTATGGTCAACGTTCTTTTTGCGAAAGGGATCATTAGCTCGGCACACTGGGTGCAAAAGGTGCAAGTGGTCAGAGGAGCCCATGAAGAAACATAACACAATTGAAGTTGCACTGAAAGCACATGCCACTGCCATCGCATCAAGTACCTGTAACTTGGAGTTGAAAAAAAAACGCAAAAGGTTGGCACAGATCCGAAGTTGACAATGGCTGCTTGGGAAAATGATGTCAAAGGCAGTGCTAGAAAGATCACACATCGAAGGAAAAAAGGAAAGTTTACAGAGCAACAGAAAAGCATTATGGAAAAATGCTTTGACAAAGGGGAACAAGACAAGAAAAATCGGTACACCACTTCATCCTGCCAGAAATTGATGTCAGATAAATTGGGACAGTGCTTCACTCTAACAGAAAACCAAATTGCAAGTTATTGGAGCAATTACCGGAAAAGAAAAAGGGAAGGTTCAAAAGAAAAACAGAACAAAAAACAAAAGCTAAATTAGGTGAATGTCTTCCCAGAAATATTTACAAGCATTTTAGTCTGCCTCAGAAAAATCAGTTTTAAATATGTAAGGTGAAAGGGGACTGAAATATTTGGTTACAGCATCTCTGCATTTCTACAGTGTATATGGAATGCATACAGTTTTGTGTCTTTGGTCATCATGACATCATCTGAAATAGTTTTTGGTAGCAAGACTTCATCACTTCAGCTGCCAAATACTATTTCAGATTATGAAGACACAACATGCTGTGCCTCTTTATCATCCAAAATAGTTTTCAGAAGCAGTCAACACTCTAGAAGAAAATTATAGCAGAAAACCACAAGCCATAAAACGTAATTGATATTGAATATATACTAGTGTATGCCAGTATTAAAACAGTGCTTGTAAATATTCCTGGTCTTCACAGAAATGTTATGAATGAGCAAACATTTATTCAATAAAAAAGTCATAAGAGAATGTAAACTGTTTTAAAATTTGCTTACTACAGTTACAGTAATAACCTAGGACCGATCTAGATCAGTCCAGCTGTAGCGTAAACACACTAGGACTGACCTAAGACAGCAATGGATTTACTGGGGGTATGGGGGTGCAAATTTCCATGTCAAGTCCAAATGCTGGATTTGCCAGGTTATAAACAACACAATATTGGGCTATTTGGAGGTCAGTGATGATGTGCCCTTGATGGTTACACCCAGTTTTATGAACGGCTCCCGCTTAGCTCCCCCCCTGCCAGGTCAGGCTGGATCCATCCCTGACCTAGGACAGACCTATGTCCATGTTTTCAGGCCAAGCATTAGTGGTGGCCTGAAAACATAGTCTAAGGTCAGTCCTAGGTAAGCCTCGGGCATGCCTGTAGTGGAAACACATTTTCACTGACCCAAGATGAGCTCGAGGCTAATTTCCATGACAGTAAACATAAATTAGAATCTTTGATGTCAGCACTCAATGGATGTCATTTTCTTGTTTGTACAGTAATTCACTTTGCATAACATATAATGGCCAATTCAATGGGACATAGGCCTTCAGGTAAGGCCTAAAGCGTGGCCAGGTACTTCTCAGTTACTGGTAAATGTCAGTCCCTGGGTGTAAACATAGCTTCAAAGTGAAATTTCTTTTCAGCGTTCACTCTCGAATCACTTCAAATTTGAGTTGGATGCAGTTTGCAGAATCAGAATGCATTTCAAGTGTATTTTAAGATTGAGAAATACATCCACAGCCATGAAAGCTTATATAGCAGAAGGCAAATGTTGCACTGTATTAGAGTGATCAGTGCAATATGGCTTTTTTTCAAAGTGAAATTTCTTTTCGGCGTTCACTCTCGAATCACTTCCATATGTACGGTCACTTGTTTGGTGAAAGAAAACTATTTATATTTAAAGGTACATATTTTAAATCAGTACATATATATGTGCATATGTAATAAACGATTCTTTCAGAAACGCTTGTCTATATTATCCACTATACTATTTGCTGTTTCTTTGTATAAAATTTGTATATCAATCAGGTTTAAAAATATACAAGTTCGAGCTTCGAACATTCTTAGTACTATGCTTGTGTGATGTTACTCTGAGTGTACATCCACACCGGGCGGGCTTGAAATATATGCCTGGTCATGGTGGGATTCGAACCTACAACCTTTGGAATACTAGTCCAATGCTCCGCCAACTGAGTTATGTGGTCTGGTCGGTTTGAGTATGCAATATTTCGGAACTAAGTATAGCACCTTCAATATCAGTGTAATCTAATAATCATGAAATTTGCTGTGTTGGTGTAATGTACTCAGGTGAATAAGATGCTTGGGCTAGTATTCCAAAGGTCACAGGTTCGAATCCCACCGTGGCCAGGCATATTTTTCAAGCCCGCCCGGTGTGGATGTACATTCAGAGTAACATCACACAAGCATCTTATTCACCTGAGTACATTATACCAACACAGCAAATTTCATGATTATTAGATTACACTGATATTGAAAGAGCTAAACTCAGTTCCGAAATATCGCATACTCGAACCGACCTGACAGCGTAGCTCAGTTGGCAGAGCATTGGGCTAGTATTCCAAAGGTCATAGGTTCAAATCCCACTGTGGCCAGGCATATTTTTCAAGCCCGCTCGGTGTGGATGTACACTCAGAGTAACATCACACAAGCATCTTATTCACCTGAGTACATTACAGCAGCACAGCAAAATTCTTAGTACTACATTACATGTAGGTTTATAACGGTTTGATAATCATATATCACCAGTACTTAGTGTATTTAAGTATCTTGCCCATGAGCCCTAGCATGAACCTCTCTGAACGATCGAATGCAATAATAGCTCATGATTAAGATGAGAACAACCTTACCATCATCATAAGCAGTTATTTACTGATTTGTGATGTAATTTATGTTGTTTGTGTATCCTAGCTTATAGTTCTAGTAGAATTCCCCCCAATAAGCAATGCATAATCAGCAAAATGTTGAGAGTCACAAGCAAAATGTTGAGAGTCACCAAATGTCATCTTTCAATCTAACTGATCCATAAACGACAAGAGTCTTCTTTACTGGGCTCGTATATATACGTAATATTTCAAATCCGACTATGAGGACTGGACTAGATTTCAACTCCATGCAATTTCATCAAGTCCGAGGCGAAGCCGAGTAATAGATCAAAATTCGAGGACTTGAAATCTACTCCAGTCCGAATTGGAGGATTTGAAATGACGTATTATGCGAATAAACCACTATTTAATTAATTTTGATCCAGTCCAAAGACTGAATTAAATTTGATCCAGTCCTAGGACTGAATCAATGGGCTACATCAGGTATCCAGTATTATCATGTGATCAAAATAAAGCAATATGGTTGATTACATTTACTTCATGAATTATTAATGATTTTGAGATCTATGATTAGAAGCTATTTTAAATCCCAGGAGCATAAAATCTTGTGCTGAACAACAATAGTTTATTTTTTTTATTTGTTTGCGGGTTTGTATTCCTCTCGTTCAATGTTCAACAGGAATTCAGTTACTCAATTGTCAGGACCAACTCCATTCACATATAAAATCGTGATCATACAGGATGTGTCAAAAATCTGCAAACCCTTTGAAATAGGTCTGAATAATTCTTGCTGTCATGCGAAAGCCGAATCCAATAATTGTTTTATTATACATTTAAAGACATGAAAAATGTATAAAACGATTAAACGAAGTTTATTAATGTTTCAAGTATATTTATTTTATTTTCGGGCGCTTTTGGGTTTGAGTTGTTGGCTATGCCCGGGCTTGGGCACGACAGCGTCCAATAATGTATTTTTATGTTTTTTTTATGTAAGTTCGATAAAAAAACAAACTATTATGGACGCTGAGCACGTCAGCAGCTGAAATTACGTAATAAGTACCGAATATTGAGAATTATCTGGTGTTCTCTGTCAAATCGGGAACAAGAATACAGTACATACTAAATGTGTATGTAATAATGAATGTTATTGTTTAATGTAAGGCATGAAATATATGCATGAATGCAGGCAAACGAAATCAAAATTTGAATACTTTGAAGCTAGTGGAATGTCGTTGAACATACATGTATACTCTCCAAAGGTAAAACCAATTATAAAATAACATGAATATAACGCGTGTTCTGATTGGTCGAAACCTGTGTTTGGATCAGGTCATCCAAACGGAAATTTAAAGTGCCTTCGCTGGAATTTTAAACTTTGTTGTTATTTTATAAAAACAAATACTTTATGGTTCCCGTGTTTGGATGGCCTGATCCAAACACTTGGGAATGTTTCTTGAGTTAAGAAAAGCGTGCAAAATCACTCGCCTTCGGCTCGTGTTTTGCACGCTTTTCTTAACTCTCGTAACATTCCCGCGTGTTTGGATTAGGCCATCCAAACACAGAAACCATAAAGTAATTGTATAATACTGATTTTTTAACTGAGAACACTATAGACGTACCCATATTGGAAAATATACTAAGGAGCCTGACACAGATATACTTGCATATAATTATATCTATGCCAACCATGCAATTACCGTTTTACCATCAATAATCCCTCATATACCGTATTCTCTTGATTTAGCCCTCTCTGTAATAAGTCCACTCAAAAGGGCCTGAAAATTATTACATTTTTATTTGCATCCAATTGCATGGTTTTTCCTTTGTTTGTAATTTCCTTTAAAACTCATTAGACAATGTTCTTTTTACGGGTTTTTTTCATAATAACCGCGGGTATGCGGTTTTTATTTTCCGTAATAATCTGGTATTTGGGATTCAAGGTTATTACGGAAAATAAAAGCCACTTACCTGCAGTTATTATGGAAAAATAAAAACCTCTCAAGAACAAAAAAATATGGTCTACTGAGTATATACAGCTATTTCAATTAAGGTTGTCCCCGAGCAAAGCAGAAAAGTCTGCGGCCCTCTGTCTTCACACTTGAATAAAAACCTCGCCCTCATACTTTAACCTGTATATATAATACATCACTTTTGCTCCCATTTGTTTGCATGTTCACACAATGTCTCACACCATCACAGGTCTGATTATGTATCTATAATAGTGTCAGTGAAACGTACTGAAATCAGTGGTTCTATTACAGCAAAGGAATTAAAAGCAGAGGGGGCTAGTGCTGGTGAGATTCAGAAGCAGGGAAGCCTTGCATACCAATCCTTATTACCAGATTCCAAGGAGAAATACATTCAGCTGGCTGCTTCGTCTAATGATCCCTCGGCCCAATCAAGTGAAATTTCCAAAGAAAAGAAGATAAAAAGAGTAATTAAAAATATAGATGCCAATGTAAGTTAATCTTCAGTTGATGAAAAAAGAAGTGTTTTATGTTTAGCTTGGGTTTAACCCACCACTTGCAGTAACAAGTTAAGATTTTCCATAACCCGCATTAACAACGGAATTAAGTTATAAAAACAAAAATTCTGTGTGCAAAAATCAATCAATTCACTCATGTTTATAAGTTCAATGCGCCTTACAAGCTTTATAATTATCAAATGATTGACTTTTGGATATTGCAAGAAATTTTTATAATGAGTATAGTATATATAAAGTATAATTATAAAGCCCAATGATTTCATTTTGCAGATCAAACAACTGGACGATCTTGGCTGTCCATCCATTTGGCTGGGATATGGTGCCAGAGTTCCTCAGCGACTATTTTCCCCTCAAATGAGTGAACTTGCTGAAGATGGCCTATTTACAAACTATGTTGTGTCAGATATGATAAAAAAATGGTAAACTGTGACCTTGATTCATTAACTCAATCCACTGGAACTGGTACATAGAATCAAAAAATATCAATTGAAATATGTTTTGCAAATTTCCTCAATTCCTAAATCCTCTCTTTCAATCTGTCATCCTTACATGTATTCTACACATTTATACAGTACGTGTTGACCACACATTTGTGTTATATTTTTAATAGCTGAATCTCAAATGAAGGACACCTTGAACATGAGCTGTGAGAGTGCCAGAAACTTCAAGCGTAAAGTGAAAAAACGTCCAAACAGTAGTGCATTGACAACCAAGCAAAAGGAAGGTGAAGTAATTTTGTCAAACGGTTACACTGTACGGTATAGGTCAAAAGTAGTAATAATTTTTTAAATGATGTAACAGTCGTTTTTTATTAAATGAAAATAAACCTGTAGAACCAGTCTACATTAACAACCACTTTACTTTACTTTCAGATATTCTGCCAGAATTCTCTCTAAAACCAGGTAGATTCACTGTAGAAGTTTGCCTTGATCATTATATACGGCTGATTCAAGAAGGTTGTCCTTTGCAAACGATAAACATTAAACCTTAAACTCTGATGGGGGCATCATTTAATCATTTCAGAAGAAATCGTATATGGGGCCTATTTCTTAGAGACATGCTAAATATCTCCTTACAACAACAATTCAGTCACAAATAGCTGCAATATTGAACTACTAGATTGAAACTTGTGCTCCCATTAAGCTCTGTGCACTTAGAGTTTAAGGTTTACAGTTTAAGGTTTGCAAAGGACAACCTTTTTTGAATTGGCTGTATGAATTGTTTTGTTTGATCAATACAGTTAATACATTGGGTGGGTGTTTAATGCATTGTAAAGGACGATCATGTCCTATTGCATTTTACACCTGCCTCATGGTAAATCTTTATATAAATGATACAAAGATGCAGTGAAAACTATTGAGTCATCTGAGAAACCGTCGTTTAAAATGAATAAGGCAAAACATACTTGTTTTAGGGTCCTTTTCCGTCATGAATTACTGTACTGTTTCTATGCCTAGTAACGTGTTTACTTTAATTAGGAGATCAAGTGGAAATCCTAAATGCCAATAATCAGGAAATTGGAAGCGGAGAAATCACCTCCCAAATTACGGTGCACAGATATGAAGTAGCAGGTGGTTGGATTCCTCTTCTTGTGAAAGAAATAGTGCCTATTACAAAGACATGGTCTGAATACCCAAGTCATTCGGGTACTGTGGAGATAAAGAGTTTTGTTGCTTGGCCAAGCGTCCATTTGCGTGTGAAGGAGTAGCTTTTGAGTAGAAATAAATGTTGTAAATAGAAGTTGCAGAAAATGTAAGATTATCGATAATTAAAGAAATTTAGCACAATGAATTCTATACAATAACTTGATGAATTGTAATAACTTAACAAGTTGTAATAACACAAATCATTCGTACTAGTCAAACTCAACAAAATGTTGCCCAACTCTTCTCTATGTATGAACAATGTGTCTCAAAAAAAGTGAACCCTTTCAAATTAGCTATAACGTATTGTAGTAATTTGACAGCTCTACTTGCTTTGAATTAATGGTTGGGTAGGAACACAAGGTCTTGTACTCATGGGACAGAACTCGAAGAAATAAAAATTAGAAAATTTAAAAGTTTTTAAGAGTTTTGTCCCTTGAGTACAAGACCTTGTGTTCTTTCCCAAACATAATCAAAGCAATTAGAGCTGTTGAATTACTACAATACGTTATAGCTATATAATTTGAATTTGAAAGGGTTCACTTTTCTTGAGACACACTGTACATGCATCTCCCTGTTTTATCCAGGGTGTATAAAAAAACACGCAACCTCGGAATTTCCCAAGAAATCAACATTGTTTTAAGGATAAAAGCATAGGCGTATTGGGCAGGGGAGGGGGCAAATACTCCCCCCCCCCATTTTTACACTCGGGCAATTGAGCAGAAATCCCTGTTTCATTTTGGCGAAACATATAACTCTCACCAAAATCCAATGAATTCTGCCAGGTTTGCTATTGAATTGGATTAGACAAGCAAATAAAATCCGAAAAAGGTGAAAATCGACGGGAATGCCGATACCAAAACGGGTTGTGGAACGTTGCAACCGCGTAACTGCAACACTCACGGAGTGTTCGGACTACCAATTACTAGTACTATATATATGTGTCCATCGTTTTGCGATATCGAATTTTGACTTTGGAAGGACAACCTTAATTGTATATACTGTAGAGCTTTGCACTCATTCCCCAGGGACCAACTCAACAAAAGCCATGGCGGCCATGTTGGTGTTCCAGACAAAAGAGTCTAATTAAAAGTCTTTTGAATTGGAATACCAACATGGCAGCTGTGACATGTGCAAACGCTCTATACACGTAAATTAAACAGTAGCAGTCAGCATAACAATATTCGAAACTGTGTCTGGTTGATAACCAAGTTGGTAAAATTCCAACTTGCAGTTGATAGAATTAAATTTTGGGAGCACTTTGTTTTTATGTCAAATTAATTATGTATGACAAAAAAAAAGAAACCATTTACGCCCAGAATTTGAAAATATCCGTATTTAAATCTTGGGGAATAATATTTTAATACATACATTAATCTGGAAACTTAGCAAAAGTCATTCCGTTCTAATCATTCAAAATGTTCCGTTCTAATTTGTGCACGGTTATGGTGAGTGAACTCATTGTATTTTCGTATAATGAAGCAATCGTCCAATAGCGTTAGCTGAGTTAAAACATGCATCCATGATGAGGTACCGTTCAAAATCAAACAAAGGTATTTTGTTTGGCTGCGAGAAAGAAATATTTATTTATCCCTTCTTTGTCTTTGAAATCTGTTTACATATTCAATTTTAATTTTGTAGGGTTTCTGGCCATGCACCAGAAATAACCGTAGAGGGCTAAAATGCCTACCGGCCAACATGTTTCTAGACCATGCATGCTGTAAAGTAATTCTATAATTCTTCGATATAGAGCTAATTGTTATAATAGGCTTTAAGTTCAGATACACCGCATTATCGAGTAAACATGGAGCAAAGTTTTCGGTTTGTATGCTGGAACCCTTTTCACTGAGAAGGGTTCAGATATACTAGCCGAAAGTTTTCCTTTTACAATAAAAAGGCCCTGTATGTTTACTGCAATACATGGTGTATCAACAAATTCGAACAACATACGTTTTCAGTCATTATTACGCTTGAAAAAATTGTTTGTTAGTTGTTTGTTAATTAGCTAAGCAAGCCGCATCCGTTATATGTTTCCCTACCTATTCGTTATATTAAAAGGTATGACTGCTATGTAGGCAAACTGTATTTAAATCTTTGTTATTTAATTTAGGCACAAAACTATTCTACCACCTTTTTGGAAAAGACCACTGTGAGCAGAGTAACAAGGGTAAATAATGTTAGCCAATCAGCGCGTTTGTTTACATTTTGCGTCCTTGACCAATCAGAATGTCTGAAATTCGAAACATATAAACAAAAGGAGTGAGAAAATAACACCTTGTTCTACGCCCTCTGTGACATTCGATATTAAACTTTTCACTCCAAAACTGAGAAATTCTGATAAAGCATGCTTTCTTCTTTAATTTCCTCGGGGGGATTTTTTAAATTCGATCTAGACTGCGAAATATTTATGTTTGAATAACAGTGTTTTAACGCGCGTAAAATAGTATACTCTCACTTGCACTATCCTTAACACACACATAAAAAAATTGGTAGATTTGGCAGTTTAGACTTATTTTCCCCACACCACAGCCAAAATATTTTTAAATATTACCTATATCGTCTCATCTCGCATCGGAAATGCGTCACAACGATCCAGGACAGTATCGCATGACTCTCTGGCATGACTCATACACACTCATTACTGTACATATATCCGGTTGGCAAAATGGCGATTGTCAGACCTACGCGAAATGCTTATTTTTGCTAACAAACTGTTCACGAGGGTTTCATTCTGTTCGTCTTCTGGTTCATCGGCTACCTCACTTTCTTCGTCACTTTTGTCCTCTCCAAAGCGAGTCGCCGAGGCAAACAGCGTTAATATTTGCTGTCTTTCCAAGGCCTTCCAAGAGCTTCAACATTTGCCAACGTTGTTGCTTGACAAACTGGGCAATCGCTGATGTTGGACAGGATGCATTCGATGTGGAATGAATGTCCACAACCACGGAAAACGTTCCAAGTGGATTAACCTTTTTGCAGGCAGGTGAATTGCATTTGCTATGATGGAAATTTTAAAGTAAGATTTATATTTTATACAGATCTTTATAGTCAGTTTGTCCTTGGAAATTGTTCCAAAATATGAGCGTGTAGCAAAGTTAAAATAGTACTCATAATCTCCAGAACATGTTTGAATCACAGCAGTCCTGAGATATCGGAACTGGCAGCTGTTCATCTGATGATTCTGATCAATGGCACCCCATATCTATTTAGTGTACAATACCAGTCAATGTAAATTACCACCTCCCCCAACCCAGGAGTTGGTAGTTTTTACTTTTCAGCACTGCATAATCAAAATTGTTGGATTGTATGAATATCTGGTTTTGTCTCAGTGACCCTGCTTCGCCCCATGAACCCCACACTTCCTAGATTCAAGCAGGCAGGGACTTATGTTGACTGGTACTTAGTTCAATTGCAGCAATTGGTCTGCCTGTGTGTTATTTTTAAGTGTACCCTGGTTCTAGAGGCTCTTTGCAAGGTGAAAGAAACAAGAGGCAAGAACGGAGAGCCTCTGGTCACATCGATTGCAAATCCTACTTCCAAACTTGACTAGGTTCAGAATTTAGACCTTGGATGTGATTGGCCATTTGTAAACAACCTGTTTAAGAAAAACCTGTTTGGGAAATAAACACTACTGTGAGCTAATTATAGCCTGTATTAAAATATTCTATTAAACTCAACCAAGCATGAATATTAATACTCCTACAGGTGAAAAAGGTATCGAATTTCTCAGGAGATAAACATATTAATCAGTTTTGCAGGACATGTTAGTAATACATGCCCAAGCATGTATTGACTTTAATAGAATATTTTAATACAGGCTATAATTAGCTTACAGCAATGTTTATTTCCCAAACCGGTTTGACATATTTTTACAAATGGCCAATCACATGCGAGATTCAAATTCTGAACCTAATCAAGTGTGGAAGTGGCATTTGCAAAAAATGTCACCCTGGGGCCTTACACAGCGGAGGAGAGGGGGCGGCAGGGGGCAACTGCCCCCCTAAAGAAAACTGTATTTACAATTTTTAGATTGTCATTGTTAATTATTCTTTGCATATTTGGGACTTTTTTTCAACATATAAGCCTTACTGCCCTCTTGGTGATACAGCCCTGATGTGACCAGAGGCTCTCCGTTCTCACATATTGTTTCTGTCACCTTGCAAAGAGCCTCTGGAACCAGGGTACTCTTAAAGTAACAAACAGACAAAGCAAATAATATAATGCTTTTAAAAATCTTCAATTTCAAAAGAGGCTGCAGTAAATTGGTAGGGAAATCTTTCAATAATATCCTGTGGTTATGGTAAACTATGTACCGGTACCAGACAATATAAATCCCTGCCTGCTCAAATCTAGGAAGTGTGGGGGCCATTGGGCAAAGCAGGGTCACTGAAGGCCTGTTTATATGATCCTGCCTAGACAGGATGTTTTCATCCCGCCTAGATGGGAAATTCGCTTAGTGTTTATATGGACAAAATACATTGCCTGGATGAAGCCATTTAAGTGAGCTTGACGTCATATTTTTGTTGCAATAAAGGCATTTACGCATGCTCAAAAGGGAAAAGTTCATCCCACCTAGCTGGGATGAAGTGTTTATATTGGAATTTTTCGTTCCAGCTAGGCGGGATGAAGTGTTTGTATGGGAACTTTTCATCTCGTTTAGGCGGGATCCTGGCATCTGTTGGTGGGATAAGTGGCAGGATCATATAAACACTCTTTAGAATTTGTATTATGAGCGGGATCTCGGTAAGCACCCCGTCCGCCTGGCCGGGATCATACATATAAACAGGCCCTGAGACAAAACCAGATATTTACACATTCCAGCAATTTTGATTATGCAGTGCTGACTGCTGAGAAGTAAAAACTGCCAACTTCTGGGTTGGGGGAGGTGGTAATTTACATTGACTGGTATTGTACGCTAAATAGTTATGGGGTGCTATGTCTGCCAGTTCTGTTGTCTTTAAAAGGACTGCTAATTCTAAACTGCAGTGATTCAAAACATTGTCCCAGCATGTTCTAGAGATTAATATGAGTACATACTCATATTTTGGAACAATTTCCAAGGACAAACTGACTATAAAGATCTGTATAAATTTCCATCATAGAAAATGCAATTCACCTGCCTGCAAAAAGGTTAATCCACTTGGAACATTTTCTGTGGTTGTGGACATTCATTCCACATCGAATGAATAAGTTTAAACTGCCAAATCTACCAATTTTTTTATGTGTGTGTTAAGATAGTGCAGGTGAGAGTATGCTATTTTATGCGCGTTAAAACACTGTTATTCAAACATAAATATTTCGCATTCTAAATCGAATTTAAAAAATCCTTTTGTTTATATGTTTCGAATTTCAAGCATTCTGATTGGTCAAGGACGCAAAATGTAAACAAACACGCTGATTAGCTAACATTATTTACCCTTGTTGAGCAGAGTTGCATGCCAAGTCTCACGGTTTACCCGTATATAATGCCATCAATCCCCCAGCTAATTGAATATTAATAGTTTAATTCAAATGGTTATCTGACTTGATTAACCATATATGGTTATCTCAGAAACCCAGCACGAATTATTTTGTTCTACTTATTGATTAATCTTTTTTTTTTATTAATCGTTCTAAAATTTTTGTAAATTTTTTCATAAAAGCGTGCTGAATAAAGTCTTCTTCTTCTGTTTTTGCGCTGACCTCCAGGTCTCACGGTTGGTGTTGGAAATCTCACAGAATCCATTTAAATGGTCCTTTATGCATGGATTCTGCATCTATGCTCTGAAAAAACATACAATTTGCGAAAATATTGTCTATTCTTTCGAATAAAAATCCGTACGTATTTGTAAAATAATATATATATATATATATATGGCAATCTTGTTCCCCGAGCATGCCCTGTCAACAATATAAAGTCAACAATTTATACATAATTTGATTAAAATTTTTCAGTATTAAATATTGTCTGCACTAGGGGGACGATCTACTGAGAACTAAACAGTGTTTCTACTCCCAAAAAAATAATTTCCTTCTCCATAACCCGAATAAAAATCCGTACGTATTTGTAAAATAATATATATATATATATATATATATGGCAATCTCGTTCCCCGAGCATGCCCTGTCAAGAATAATATAAAGTCAACAATTTATACATAATTTGATTAAAATTTTTCAGTATTAAATATTGTCTGCACTAGGGGGGGGGGGGGTACGATCTACGAACTAAACAATGTTTCCACTCCCAAAAAAATAATTTCCTTCTCCATAACCCAAAATTTCCTTTTTTTCCACAGAATTTCTTTCCAAAAATCTCTAAATATCCTTCCATTTTTCCTTCAAAATTTTTATCAAAATTGACAGATTTACCTGGTAATTAACATCTAAACTCTAGTATTAACATCTAAACTCTAGTACACATTATATTAATTTATAGCAGATAACTTTGTATTTTGCCGGTTAAAATCAGCTCATATTTGCCCCCGCGGGGGACAAAAAGCATATAAATTGGGGCTACTTGCTGTGGGTGCGAAAAGAGATTCCATAACTGTTTCTTGCATCTCTCACCTCTGCCACGCTAAGCAGTCCCCCCCCCCAAGTAGAGTCTGAGAAATAATACCCTGGGTACGAGGTTTGGTTGTTATTTCAATATAGCGATTCTGGGGTTCTGTGCTAGATACATGGTTGCCAACTTTCAAAAAAACACATCTGTGAGATCTCGCTTTGGGGGGCCCACAAGGCGCCACTCTAGATCGTTGGAAATTGCATTTTCAGAGTCTTCTTTTGCACAAAATTGTATGAAAATTGCCTTATTCTTAAAAATTATGAGATAAAATAGATTTCCTTCTCATTTCCCTCCTTATAACAATATTTCCTCCCAATTTCCTTCCAAATGCTATTCCTTCCAAATTTCCTTCCAAAGGCCCAAATTTCTTCTGGAACGAAATTTCCTTCCAAATGGAAACGCTGGAACTAAAGGCCCCAGCAACCTCCAGGTTTTTGATCATCTGAACTTGGCAGCTCTGACTGTGAGAGGAAAGCTTGCCTTGGTTAACGAAGGCATCAACTTTTCCATGCAACAATTAAGTCTGGAATCAGTTCTTTCTTGCCAGTTCTTGGTTTACAAATTTCTGGATTCCAAGACATACTTGAGTCGCACAATAACAATCCTGAGCTGTCGTGTGAAGATATGGATAACGAGGAAGAATTGGACTCAAATTTTGATACCGACATGTTGTGTGAAGATATGGATAACGAGGAAGAAGTGGGCTCAAATTTTGATACCGACAGTGACACTGACACTGACTGCGATAATTGCAGTATCTTCTCCAACTATGAATTAGACACTTAATGTGGCTCGATATGCGATACATTAAACCTAACAAAATCACTTTATGCAAAAATCGCAATCTCATAGGAAAATACCCCACGAGATTATTTGCGTTCACGAAAATATTGAACGAGGAACTTTGCAGTATGACCTGACGTGTGTCATGCCATCTCACACTATTTGCTGATGAATATGCCGCGCATGTCAATTGCTGAGATGATTTTAAAAATCCATTTTTTGGAAAAAGAATGCGCTTTATCTCATTCGATGACCTATGTTCAAGTTTTACACACTTTTTCGACCCAAAAAATTTATCCAACAAAACGACATTTTACATATATAAAGAAAATGAGTCTGCAGAATAGTTTTATATTTTGCCCAGTGCTAGTTCATGTTCAAAAAAAAAGTGCGTGAAATAAAATCGAGGATCATCGTATTCGTTCCGCAGCAAATTTTGAACGTGTTTCTAGCCATAGCAACAAATCAGGTATTAACAAAAATAAAATATAAAAAAGAGAAAAATATGAACATCTTCATTTGTCCTAAACATATATATATATATATATATATATATATATATAATGTTTAAATATGTTAAATTGTTAAATATGTGAATTGTATGTAAACTGTATCGGGCCACCTTAATTGACATAATTATTTCGAAATATCTACAATTCTAGATCTATTATTAAACTTCACGCACCCACCGTTCATTCTTTGATCCAACCTTTGTTTCATGTCCTTATATTTGACAACACTCCTTAATAATTTTGTGGGGTTTTTTGAAAATCATCTTATATGTAAAGTGTATAAGCTTGTACAACATCTGAAGTTCACCCAATCGTTATTTAATTTCAAGCTAATCAAAACACTTGTAGTTGTATTTTATCGTGTTTCAAAGATCACATATAAGTTCGGTGAAAGGTTGGATTATAGGTATATATTTCCCCTACTTACCACATTTCTTCCCTACTTCATTATTTTTACTTCATTTCATGGAAAATACGTACATTGTCCTGGCGTTGAATAAAATTTTAACAACAATAAAGATAAACCAACTACATATATCATAGTCGTGTATTAATTCATTTGTCAACATAGGTTGTCATAAATTCTCATCTTTATTGCATATTTGTTACCAATTTCAAGTATTTTGTGCGTTTTTGTACCATCTCATGGTAAGATGTCCCCCATCCGCATTACAACTAACTTACGGTAGGTACAATTTTGACAAATTTTCATATTTATTGCGTATTTGTTACCAATTCAAGTATTTTGTGTGTTTTTGTACCATCTCATGGTAAGATGTTGCCATCTGCATTACAACTAGGGCGTGGTAGGTACAATTTTGACAAATTCTCATATTTATTGCGTATTTGTTACCAATTCAAATATTTTATGCGTTTTTGTACCATCTCATGGTAAGATGTTCCCCATCCACATTGCAACTAACTTACGGTAGGTACAATTTTGACAAATTCTCATATTTATTACGTATTTGTTACCAATTCAAGTGTTTTGGGCGTTTTTGTACCATTAGTCAGGTCTCTTAAGGTCACAATGTTTACAGAGCTGACAAAAGCACCAAACTTGGCTCAGTTATAGCTGATGATAGTCCTATCAATATTGGAAGGGGTGCCCAATGCAAATATTCCTCATAAGCGACTTAAAGGGGATTAAACTTTTGAAAATATCTCGTCTTGGGCTCCCTGTGGTGCTTTTTATATAAAGTGCATTTTATGCCGAAAATCAATCTTACATGTCGTTTTAATGGTCGAAGTAAACTATTTAGTCTGATCTCTTTTATTTCTGTTTGTTCAAACCTTTCCAAATGAGAGAAAAGGCTATATTTAGAAATTGCGATAAACAACTAGTACCAGTCCCACTCGCCAATTTGTCATTTCCAAGATGGCGGCTCCATGCATCTTTACGAAAACTGTAAGTATTCAGCCTTTGATATGCAATTATAACAGGTTTTCTTTTTTACAAATTTCTCTAGATAAATCGTTTTATGTTAAAGAATGTTTTTAAAGTGTGTTTGCAATTAGTTTTATTTTTTTATCTAAAAAGCCTGATTGTGTGCTATCAACAATTGTTAAAAATTTCAGAGATGATGGCATTTTCTTGGAGTCATTGCATCATCTGCCAGAAAGATACATTAGAAGAGCTAAGATGTCCATTAAGATCACATGGAGCAGATAAGAGCGATCCCAGAAACGTGTATAACTCGTTTCTACAAAATGTTTCTGAGTTCCGTGATTCACTGGATGTAATATTGCCTGTTAGCCTTACGCTGCTGCTCGAGCTAAATGTTGATGCCTTGATTGAAAAAGAAGCTGCTTGGCACAAGTCTTGCCATTTACAATTCAGTAAATCTAAACTAAATAAAGCAAAGGAAAGAGCAGCTCGAAAAAGGAAGCAAGATCAAGCAAAGCCAGAGCGGGAGAAACCAACCAAAATCTGCAAACTGTCCTCTAGCATAAAGAAGAACTGCAAAGAGAACTGCATATTGTGTGACCAAACTTGTACTGGCCCGCTTCATAATGTCACTACTTTCGCTACTGATGAAAACCTTCGCCGAATGATAACAGAACTACAAGACAACACACTGTTACCTAAGATTTCTGGGGTTGACCTTATTGCAGCTGAAGCAAAATATCACATGAAATGCATGACAAACCTGTGCAACCGCTATAGAAGTCACTTAACACGAGCACGACAAGAATCATGTGAAGAAGATGAGAAAATGAAGGAATCTCAAGCCTTTATCGAGTTAAACGCATATATCGAGAGTTCTCTCGAGAATGAGAAGTTATTTTTTTTGCTTTCTGAGTTGCATTCACTTTATGTAAGTCAGCTTCTAACCCTAGGCATTCAAAAACAAGTGAATAGAACTAGACTTAAAACCTCGATACTGGAAAACTTCCCAGACGCTCAAGAGCAAAATGATGGAAAGAATGTTGTTATAATTTTCAAGAAAGCCATACAGGGCATTGTGAAAGAGGTGGGTACAGCAAAGAGACTTCTCAGAGGACGCTGTGATTCTAGCTAAGGCTTCAGCAATTGTTCGAAAAGACATTTTTAGTCATGAAGGGTTTAAATTTACTGGAAGTTTTCCGCAAGACTGCCAAGCAAGATCTGTACCAGCTAGCCTTAAGTCATTAATGTCAATGATTTCAAGTGGGGTGAACATTAAGAACACCGAGGCACAAGAATCTCAGCCATGCTTAACAGTGTGTCAAAGCATAATTTTTAATACAAAGGCCAAGGAACGCTCAACTGTTCAGTCAAAAACTGGCCAATCGCGGCATACTAAATCACGCGAACCACCTCTTCCATTATACCTCAGATTTAATGTCCATGCAATGACCAGAAGTAAAACACTAATTGTAAAGTTGTACCAGATGGGACTTTCGGTATCATATCTAAGGATCATGGAATTAGAGGACATGCTTGCTACTTCCATCAGTGAGCACTTTGAAGCGGACGGTTTTGTGGTACCTACTTGTCTAAAAAAGGGCGTGTTTACCGTTGGAGCCCTTGATAATTTAGATCATAACCCTAGCTCTATGACGGCAGCCTCGTCGTTCCATGGAACAGGCATTAGTCTTTTCCAGTTACCAACAATTAGTAATCCTGGCGAAGAGAGGCCTCCAGTAGCGTTACCGCCGCAGGGAACCGGGCATGCTCTCCCAGAGGAATATGCAACTGTTTACCCCGTAGAGTTGAACACTAGCAAGGCAGTTGTACCAACGCGTGATATGAAAGAAATAGTTAGTTGCATGGCTGAAGTGAAATGCAGTGAGCAACAGTGAGCGGTGCATTCTCTCGAAAAACCTGACGAAGAATCAGTAACCTCAGGAGATACGTTGGCTTGGGCAGCATTTCCTGCTTCAGCCCAGACAGAAGATCCACCTGCTTTGACTGCACTACTCCCTTTGTTCTACGAAAAGGCGGCGACCCCAGCGATGGTCAAGCACGGCATGGATGTCATACGGCAGGCAGTTACCTTTCTAAATCTGGGCCAGGTTCCTATCATCACTGTTGACCAGCCCCTGTTTGCGCTTGCAAAGATGGTCCAGTGGAAGTGGCCAGACTCACATGGAGAGAAGGCGTATGTAGTTATGCTTGGTGGCCTGCATATCGAGATGGCTCTATGGAGTGTGCTTGGCGATTTGCTTGACGGATCTGGCTGGACTGTTGCCTTGACTGAAGCGGATGTGGCCTCTTCTGGTGTAGTGGATTCCTTCTTGAAGGCGTCGCATTTAACAAGAACTAGGTAGGTTGATGTGCTAAACATATTAGATGACCATACAACTATTCACAACCATACAGGTACTGGTTCACTATAAAGCCTGTTTTCCACTCGCATATTTCACCTCTGCTGGCGAAAAATTTCGCCACCGAAAAAGTTCATTTGTTGTTCTTTCGCGCCGTCAACGAAAGGTCAACAGAATTTGAAAACTTTAAGCAAATGTAGCAGGAGAACAAAGTTCTTCAGCGGCGAATGAATGTAAAAAATGATTTCTTTGTCAAAATTTTTCGCCAGTGGCAGCGAAATACGCGAGTGAAAACCGGCTTAAGGATGCTTGCGCTATACTATTCCGTAGCAACCTCGTCCCCAGAGCCATGGGAGGCACCTCCAAAATTTCGCGAGGATGGCCCTGGGGACGAGGTTGATTCCATATTGATGAGCGCAATTTATCCTTTCTGAGCGCATTTTATCTCCAGTAGAATGTTCTTTGTCTTGTGGCAATGAAGTAGGCGTACAGGTTATAATGTAACTTGGGGGTTACTTAATTAAGAAAAAATTCGATATATTTTCAGGCATGCTCATCAAGTCACTGCTCTCGCCCTACATAAGCTTCAGAGAGATGCATTTTCCCAGTACGTTGACGAGGCATCGTTCTCTATGTGGGAAGAGGCAAGAAAGTGAATAAGCCCAACGTTTCTCTTCTGGGATGTCATTCTACAGTTAGAGACACTGGTGTTGCTTGTAATACGCACACAATTTGTACATCGAGGCCATGGAAGAGCTGATACCTTTATTCTTTGCACTGGACCACGTCAATTACACACGCTGGGCCTCCATCCATATTTGTGACCTGAAGTCTCTACCGGACAACATCGCTAAGGAATTTCAGAACGAAGGCCACTGGGTATTGTCAAAAACAGGCAACAGGTTTCCTACTATTCCCTTTGACAAGGCGCATGAACAGGAGAACAACATCGTCAAGAGTGCAGGTGGTGCAGTAGGCCTAACAGAGAACCCTGTAGCATTTAGGTGAGCACAAAAATCTATTCTTTGGTTATGCTTCGTTATCAGCACAATGTGCCAATTGAAAATTGTTAATTAAGTTAAATTGTTCTGTTTTGTTATTTTATTTATTTATTAGTTTCGCCATATTACAATACACAAAACTATAACAAGAACAAGAATAATATACATGACTATAGGCAGGGTGACCGCAACAGCATGAGCCAATTACTGCGGGCCCGAAATTATTGTTATCGCGTTACAAATTACATGTTCTATTTCTTTTTTTGATTGATTATTTTATTTATTTACAACATGAAACAGGCTGGTTATAAACAAAATGGTGTATTAGTTAACACACAATCAAACTGGTAAAACGGCAAATCAGAGCACATTGTTTGGCAGAAAATAACTATTCACAGGAATGAAAATACTGAATTTCGATATATTCTTTTTTTTCAGACGTTGGATGCTTTCAGGCCCTGAGACAACGAGACTTTTGCATCAATTTGAGGAGCAATATCTAGGACCTGATAGCGAGGAGTTTCAGGATCGTCTAAATCATGAGATGGGACTAAGCGCACAGAAGACATTCAAGAAGCAGGTGAACAATCTGGTTGATGTAATAAGGACGATGGAGAACCCCTTTCTTGATGACTTCCCAGAGCTAGTTACACTGGACAGCCGGGATTGTATGGATGATGCTGTAGCCGAGGCAGTAGTTAACCTTGAGCAACTTGGAAAGAAGCAGTACCAGGATTTTGTGAAGGCAGTTATAAAGGACAGAACGATTTCAATAACCAATCCCATCAAGAAGAACAAGCTTCCCCTTTATGGCAAACGGCTGTCACGCGCCAAATCTAAGCAGTCGAAGACAATCACAGCACTGCAGAATAACGTCACCCTTTTCGCGCAATTGTATAGATAGATAGATAGATAGATTTAATAAGAAAACACATTGCAGCCGAGTACGACTGGATTGCGTGTTACTTTACAACAATGGTAATTATGAGAATAAAGTTTATCTAAAAAAAGTATATAAAAGAACGTTACAAATATGTTAAAGTGTGTTAGAAATATGCGGATGTTTCAGGCTAAAAGTGTGTAACTCAGTATATAAATTATGTATTTACAAAGTTAAAACTACGGAGATTACGCTTAAGAGAATTCTTTAATACAAGAAGGAATAAATGTTTTTAAAAATCTATCAGTTTTAATAACTGGTGTTTGGAAGACATGTATACTACACAAGTCGTTGGTGATAGGAGGACGTGCAGGAAACAAATTCGACAACTTGTGTGCAGGGTCCTTAGTTATCTGATTGTATAGTTTGGAGCAGGCATGCCTTCGACGATCGCTTAAGAGTGTCAAGTTAGCTTTGTCCAAACGCTCGCTGTAAGAAAAACCAGGAAAGATGGATGTAACACTTCTCTGGACTCGTTCTATGTTATCACTGAGATACTTAGGCAGAGCAAAGTGAAATACCTCACAAGCGTATTCCAGAACCGGTCTGACACAGCAACAATAAAAGTTTAGAATTTCTTTGGCTGGTATTTTAGTTCGTTTTAATTGTACTATGAAGAAGATTCTCTTGTTGGCTTTCTTTATTATGTTTAGGACATACGTAGACCATCTTAAATCATCACTAACCGTAACACCTAGAATTTTAGCTTGGCGAACCAGGTTTGGACACCCTGCAAGAAGGTGGATATTATCAAAGGATACTCTCTTTCTGTGGAATGGAAACAAAAGCTCTTTGCATTTTTGGACATTCAATTGGAATTTGTTCTGCAAGTTCCACATTTCAAGTTCGTTAGCTCCAGACTGGATTTGGCTGGTTCTGTTTCTTGGGATAGTTTCCGAGACTGTTGTATCATCGATGTATTTCCAGTGGGTGATGTCCGTAAGCTTCAAATCGTTTATCATGAGAATAAACAACCAAGGTCCCAACTTTCTGCCCTGTGGGATGCCACAAGGGACATTACCCCACTCAGAAACACAGTCCCTTGCAAGTTTCATGCGCTGTTTCCGACCACACAAAAAGCTAATAAGCCAATTTATTACATAAATAGCAATGCAGAGTCGCGACACTGACCTCAAGGAATTCTTCAGCCACAAAGTACAGGCATTCCCTCCCTCGTTATCAGAATTTGGCAACCTCCGTCTTCCTAATGCAAAGTCCGAACTGATGAAGTGCATCGCCCAGCCGCAACAGCTCGAGCCTAACCCAAGTTTGATTGCCAAATATGCGACGGAGCTGTTATAGTCCATTGTCTTCCGGTTACAGGAGCAATCACCTTCGACGACTACGCCGACAACGTTTTCATACCATATCTCTGCCATCAGGACAGCAGACAAGTGGACGTTGTTTGGGATTCCTATGTCCCTGACAGCCTTAAAGAATCAAGCAGAGAAAAGAGAGGGCTTAAAGGCATGCAACGCAAAGTTGCAGGTAGCACAAAGCTTCCGCCGAAGTGGATTCAATTCCTGTGTGATTCAGCAAATAAGCAAGAACTGTTTGCATTTCTTACATCGAAGGTTGCTGCGTACACCTGGCCAGAGACGAAGACGGTGTACAGGACTTCAGGTTTGTATTGGTAATGCTCACATAATTAGTAGTATCATGCCAACTATAATGTATAGTTCGTTTTTAGTGTGAAGTTTCACTTCACACTGTTGTGATGGCTGGCGAATTCACACGAATCAGTCAGTCAGTCAGTCAATCATTGAGTAAACTTTCCGGGGGGTGTATACGATTTATGTTCGCAGTGATTTATTGTACTTAGTCAGTGCTTTGAAGGTTATTTAAGCAATTTTATTTATTTTCTTTAAATATTCTTTTGTCTTTTTGCCAAGTTCACAAAAATTTCGAGGAATCGTTGTCGTTATTGTAAATTTTTGTAATTTTAGAACATTCGCTTCTCATGTTGTGTAAAGGATCTTACCCCCGGAACACCCGATTTTTTCTATAGCAGCGCAAATGCGCATGCGCTATGAAGCGTAGATCACGATGCTAGGAAGGAGCGACAGTGTTGTTTTCAAATGTATAAACACATGAATATTGAGTAAATCTTTGAGAATCTGCGCAATATATAAATTTATGTTATGCATTTCAATCAAGTGCTGATATATGTAGACGCTATATTCATTATACAGAGCTAAGAAGGAGCGACAGTGTTGTTTTCAAATGTATAAACATTTCAGACGTAAATATTGAGAATTTCTTTGAGATTCTAGGCATTCAATTGAGTGCCGATATTATTTTCACAGCATACTCATTATACAGAGGTACAGTACGTAGGCAGAAGCGAGACAGTGTTGTTTTCAAGTATATAAACATTTCAGACATGAATATTGAGAAAATCTTTGAGATTCTACGCAATAATACAATATTATGTTATACATTTAATACCGGCAATCAATTGAGTGCCCATCGATATTATTTAGGCCGTGTATTCATTATACATTGTCATTGACTGTATAAGTTGTTACATCACAGAATAGATGGCTACACCCAGTACAAAGAGCGAAAAATTGCATCAGATCTGTATCAGATCAATAAAGCGTAAACAACTATTAAACAGAAGTGGGTAAACGTTTGTACGGCGTTTACGAAGAAAATAACTTGCGAGACTAAAGAAATCAGTTGAGTCAGAGCTCCTTATTTAAATATAAAGAAAGACGAGGAGATATCCAATGTGTTATCGCCAACGTGTTATCGCCAATCGCTTGGCTCGCCAACAAGCTTTATGCAATAGAAGAAAAAAGCAAGGAGGTACATGTAGCCAACGTGTACCGTCACAGACCTTGTCTTTGTCTACTGTCTAGGACAACGCGGTTGTCAACGGTGCAAACTCTTGTTCAGTGCAACGATAACTCTACCAGATCTTACGAGAATCAATCTGTAGTATTTTCTGTACACAGAACTGTTCAAAGCTTGTCAAAACGGCTTAAACACTGCTTAACTGTGAAACTATTGAAATCTAAAGTGACAATATTCAACACATGCGAAAAGCTGAAAATAGACGTGACACTGGGAAAAGTCAAAGGTCAATGAGACTTGTTATTGTGAAATATGTCACAATTAGGTTAAAATGCGGAAGCGGATGGAGCGGATCCACGGAAAATACGGAACGGATGAGGATAAAATGCGTCCTTTTAATGATGTAACGACGTAGTGTTTATTATTCATAACGTATCTTATACAGCTATTTCAATTATAGTTTTAGATAAATTTAGCATAGCAGTAGCCTTCGTAGTGTAAGCCATCAGCTTTTCTAGGTTGTCAGCGACCCTATATAGTTCTTGAAGTGTCTTTTTCAATTTGAAACTTCACACTATCCTTGGATCCCTAGTTAGGGGTTTCTGTGATCTCCACAGACTCAAACAGATCGATGCCTGAGTGTAACCACGAAGAGGCAGACACACGGATCGTCGTCCACGTTCTCCATGCCATTCAAGTCGAGCAAGCAAAGTCTGTATTGGTCAGAACCGTTGATACAGACGTCGTCGTCATCCTAGTAGGAACGTTCTACAATCTTAAATCAATCGTTCCCGACTTAGACCTGTAGGTGGCTTTTGGAATGGGACGCCACTTCTCGTACATCAACATTAACACCATCTGTGTCAGCCTGGGTGAAGCAAGGTCTAGATCACTACCAGTTTTCCATGCGCTTACTGGTTGTGATACCACGTCATCCTTTTATGGGAAAGGCAAGAAGTCCGCCTGGCAGGCATGGGAGCTGTATCCAGATGTTACCTCGACTTTCGAGTTTCTGGCAAAGAACGTTTACCATCAGCTAACAGCAGACTCTGCCCATTTCAAGAGAATTGAACGATATGTTGTCGTCCTGTTTGACAAGTCGAGCCCACTGGATTCCATAAACAGGACGAGGATGGAGCTGTTTTGTAAGAACAACAGAGCAATGGACAAGCTTCCGCCAATACAGGTAACTATGACAGCTTGCATGCTAAGAGTTTTTCTTTACTGTATTGCTATTCATGATGCTTCACTCAACGATTACATTTTCTTTCAATCACAAGGATGCTCTCCTACAACATGTTCATCGTTCAATTTTCCAAGTGGGAATATGGTCGACCAGTGAGCACTCACAACAGGCAGTACCATCTCCAGACAGGTTTTCTTGGAAGAAAGAGGGAGGATCATGGGTACCGAAATGGATAACCATACCCGAGGTCTCGAAGGCTTGCAGTGAACTAACAAAGTGTACCTGCAAAGGTTCATGCACAAGATGCAAGTGCACTAAGGCGTATTTGGTGTGCACTCCGCTTTGCAGATGTAAATGTGTAAACAGTGCAAGTGATCCGTGAACAGCCGTACTGTCTAACTTTTTTAGCACTAAAAAAAGTGAATGCGCCTGCAAAGTGAACCGAATTAGGATCGGGAACTATATCAAAATGCAAACTAACGTGAAGATCTGTTTTGAAATGTTAGTTATTATTTATTTGCCAACATTGATACTGAAAAATGCTGAAAAGTGAAATAATTTTCTGAGTGGAGACTGGGCACTAGTCAGTATATTTGTATAATTTATGTCAAAGCGGCATAATTAATAAGCATGACCTATCCAGCCTCAAAACTCTGTTATTTATTTGTTCTTTGCTGAATTTAGACAAAAGATATAGCAACCACAGGTAACCCACTTCGTGATTTTAGGCAAAACTTTCATTAGCCCATTAATGCTTAACAAGTACGATTCGCGATGGGCACCCCTTCTAATATTAATTTGTATATGCTAAGGAAGCTATGTGCCAAATTTGGCACTTTTGTCACTCCTGTAAACATCGGGCCACTATTTTGCACTAAGAGACCTGACTACATCTCATGGTAAGGTGTTGCCCATACGCATTACAACTAACTTACAGTAGGTATAATTTTGACAAATTATCATATTTATTGTGTATTTGTTACCAATTCAAGTATTCTGTGCGTTTTTGTACCGTCTCATGGTAAGATGTTGCCCATTTGCATTACAACTAGGGTGTGGTCGGTACAATTTTGACAAATTCTCATATTGATTGCGTATTTGTTACCAATTCAAATGTTTTGTGCGTTTTTGTACCATCTCATGGTAAGATGTTCCCCATCTGCATTACAACTAACTTACGGTAGGTACAATTTTGACAAATTCTCATATTTATTGCGTATTTGTTAACAATTAAAGTATTTTGTGCGTTTTTGGACTGTTTAATGCATGGCAAAACCTGAAGACTCCACAAAAGACCAAACCGGTGCCCATGGCAAAACAAACCATAAGTACGAAAGGTCACTATAGTGGTGATGGTAATCTGCCCAAAATAAGCTCAATACTGGAAAGCAACGAGACGTCCTACAACAAAGAAAAAATGCACTCTTTGGAAGAAATGGTTCGATACTTTGTCCACAAAGTGTACCCTTACCAAGTTATAGCAATGGGATTGGCAGCAAGAAAATAGGGTTACAAAAGTAAATCTGCTATTGCTTCGTTTTTGCATAAGACATGCATGAACAATTTAAACATTGATGATTGTAACAATGCAATTGACTATTTACAATATCTTTGTCCATATTTTCGCTTTTGTCCATTTTTTGAATATTCCAAGTTTAAATGTATTTGCACTGGTGGTAGTTCATGCACACCTCTCCCTAAAGATTTTAAGCTTTACTGCAAAAGGAAATGTGCAAAGTCCTTGAACTGTGGATGTAAATTATTGGACGATTCAGCACATGCATGTCTTGATTTTTTCTTTTGCAAAGTGTGCGATAAATGCTACAAAAGTACTTCAAAACAAAGTTCTGTAAAACTTTAAATTATTAAAAGTTCACTAAATCACTACAGTCTACAGCACATTTATAACAAAGAAAATCCATTATTTTTTTAAGGTGGTTTCTCACCAGTAACCAGAAATAGTTTTCCAATAATTCAAGTTAAGTTAAGGTTACAGGATACCCTAGGTTATAGATCTATGTTAAACGCTAGTTTCACTAAAAACACATTCTTTCCCGACTTGTGTTATATCGCAACCTATGGACAACATAACGCTTGTAACTTTGCAACTAAAGGCCTGAAAAGCTAGCGGGAACACCCTTTCATAGCCAAGACATGCACCTACAGAACAATAGGTTAAAACGCATGCTTAACATAGCCTTTTTAGTGTGTGTATACGACTCAAAATTAATACGTCTTAAAATTGACTTTAATTTTAATTATTTCCAGCCAAGTTTATAGACTTCGGAAAGCATTCTATTTGACAACTTGTTTAATTTGAAAAAATTTAATTTGTAATGTTTCCTGACGACAGAAATATTTCTAAGCTACAAGACAATGTAAAAAGTTTTCTGGGAAATTTGTAAAGTTCTAGGGTATACTGTAACCTTAAAATAACCAACAATCATCACCCAGAAGAGGGAAAAAACTGTAACTTGACCACAAATTTTGATATCTTGACCACAAATTTTGGTAAAATTTACTCAAGACAATGTCTAGACTATGGAAATAAAATCGACTAAAGTTGCATAAAAAATTGCAGTATATGTTTGCCAAATTGAAACAAAATTTCAAATTGTTTTAAAGCCAAATTTCTCGGTAATCAAAGAAAAAGGCTTTATGTTTTTTTTGGCATAGTTTGTACAGTACAATTCTTATCCCTGTTTATAAAGATTGCCTTTCACGAAAACTCGTATTTCAAACATTGTCGACGGTTAAGGCAAAAGTTTGATTATAGTGAAATTAAAAATTGGAGGCATCTTCCAGGTGGCATGAAGCAATAGTAAGGCCGGTTTCAGACGTCTAACTTTTCATGTGCAGAACCTAATGTAAATGAAATAAAGTCCTTGCATGTTTGAGTTCATTAATTTGCATGCATTAGGTTTGGCACATGAAATGTTCGATGTCTGAAACAGGTCTAAAAATTAAAAATCTACTTGTAAGATAGACACTGTATGTATATAATTATGTGTCTACATCTATAAACCATGATGTGTGTTTCCTTGTATCAAATGTGCGGAATTTCATTAATTAATAGAGATTGAGCTTTTGTACATGTCTCAAGTTGAGTAATAAGTATATTTTTCATTACTGAATATCTCAGCTATTATATATGTTCAGTCATTTCTTGTGCCATCTCTTCGTCGATTTCTTCGTCATAATAATCCTCATCGTCTGTTTCGTACTCTTCAGAAACAACTAAACCACTTATTTACGTATAACTTTGTCTCCTCCCATATTGATATTACGCCTTCAAAAAGATTACACGCTACAAACAAGTTCAAGAGCTCAAGATCAAGCTCTCTTTTCCCCAAGGAATATTTTCCCCTTCATTAAATACGAATTTGCAAAAGACTCGTTGTTTCCAAGTTCTTCTAAGTAGCGTTCTTTCTTCGTACAAGAACTATGGAATTCGTTCACACATGTCATTTCCTGCAAAACAATCTCTTGTTCCTCTGAACATCTTTCCACGATAGCACATGCGTCAATGGCCGCTCGCTTGACGGTAACTGGAATAGCGTCTTCATTTGGTACATTGATCGTATATACTGTTCACGTCACTGGCATCTTCCCAACTTAAAAAAAAAAAACTGGTCATAGCCATTTTGCTTTAGTATCTCGATTGACAAATTATACTTTTTCAGCATTCTCAGATTACCGCTTTCTTTCGTTATACTTCTTGAAAGACGCTTGGCTTGAGCCTGTTCATCTAAAGAAAGGTTCAATATGAAATACTGCACATTTCAAGCAAAACATAGTATGAAACAAAAAGAGTAACCTGCGTATTCCCTTTTTAATGATAAAAGGAACCATCTTCTTCGCCCGCTGATCATCAACATGTCTAATGTTTGTTTCGCCTTTACTGCTTCTTGTGTTCTCAAAGCAGATATATAATTTGAGTCTGTGGGCGTCCATCTACACTCTTAATAACATATTCTGCTTCCATCTTCAGTAAACAGCTGTTCAATCTAAAATATATACACATAGTGTTAAAAAGGCGAAACTGATGCGTCAAGACAATGACTGCGTGATTGTGTTCATTGTATTATGCTAATAAAAATATTAATTACAAATTTATCAATTTCTAAACATATACTGTATATGCTAGGTATGTTATTATATGTAATATAAGCTTCAATTTAAAGTAAAATTCAACAATAAACGCTTTGCAAAACCAAAAGTTTTAAAATCTTAGTTTTAAAACTAAACTGCCTTCTATCGATAAACTTTGCATTTGATATACATGAAATGCTTTCATATTTATTTAAAAATTCTAATAATAAAAAAGGGTAATCAAGAAATATGCACTGAATTATATGCTGAAATTTTTAAAGCAATTTATAAAGCAAACAATACATCAATATTTAAATTTACAAAATCTTGCAAAAATGAAATATATTTGCAAGAAATGTCATGAAACGTCATGCAGTCGTTATATAATGCAAATTTCAAATTTGACCAATCAGTCACAGAGTAGATACATAATTATAGAGAGTTATAACTAGTGTACCCACTCTTCTTTGTGCGCATGCTCTGCAAGTTACTAGATGCATGCATCTGATTGGATGACGACTTGCTTTAACGGCTCGCAGAACTTGCCGAGTACGCGCAGTTGATCATTTTTTACCCGGTCGCCTGAAAAAAAGTGGGTACATGAAAACGTAAGCTTCCGTAGTGTTTACAACGGTCAGTTACAGCTCTGTATGTCTCTACTCTGTGAATCAGTGTTCGCTATTCATGATAGTCAACAACATACTGTACCTTGTTGAATAATACTGATGCAGCAGGGAAAAATATGCCAAGACCCACTTGTGGGGACCCAAGTCAACTAAAGATAAATATTTCCAATTTTAAAACACTACAGTACACACACATTATGCATGGCAACCACGCTAATGTAAGATGAGAGTAGTAAAGTACCTTCGTCTGGTCTAGATTTTCGTAAATATTCCTTCTCTCGCTGTTTCCATTCAGTGACCATTTCTTTAGTTACTGGAACTAAAATACTCAAAAGAATCCCAGTCACAGATTGCATACGGAGCCACATGAACGCAACATTTTCCTGCATGGGTTTAGTTCATTAGTCTCGGTATTTGCACATGGCTGGTATCAACTTTCCAAATTCCCAGTGCCAGGATTTTAGCCAGAAGGGCGTCCAGGCGTCCTGGGATGCCCCTAGAACAAAAAGTGGACGCCTTTGGACGCCCAAATTATGGGAGAAAAGCGAAATTATTTTCAATGATTCCCTAAGTGTATTAACATATCCGAAACAAATTAGCTTCAATTCTCATAAAATTATTATTATACATTGACATTTTGATCAATTTGATGGTATACATGGCTGAATGAAAATGTCATAGTTAAGTAATAAAGAAGCAATAGTGGCACAAACTGACAAAGCCAAGTGTGTTTGAAAAATTCAAACAAGGTTGGAACGATACTAACATGAAGTAACATAAACTTCAAACGTTTTCCAGAGGAACGTTTCCTCTAACCCCTTAAACCTAACTTAGTTACATATAGACCTGTCCCCTGTGAAATTTTGATCTAGTCAAGTCTGGACAAAAATTTCATCACAGTTTGAAAGAGCATAGCACAATTAGTAATTTTCCAAAGTTTCGTTGGAAAATATTGTAAAATATGGATAATATAGCCTTGTGAAGTTTGCCGTTTTTCAGTCATTTTGCATTACAAACGGGAAATTGATAATCAGATGATCAAACTGATTTAATATCAATTTCCCATTTGTAATACAAAATGACTGAAAAACAGCAAACTTCGCAAGGCTATATTATCCGCATTTTACAACATTTTGCAACAAAACTTTGGAATATTACTAATTTTGTGATGCTCTTTCAAGCTGTGATGAAATTTTTGTCTAGACTTATCTAGATCAAAATGTCACTCAAAAGAGGAAAGGTCTATTGGACGCTCTCTTTTAAGACCCTGGCTAAAAACATGCCCAGTGCAGTCTCGGTACTTATGGTTGGCCCTAACTTTCCACATAATTATACCATCAGTTACCTGGAGACTTTTTTTGCAGATCTTCAAGCTCCATGGAAGCCGAGGTAGAAAGTTCTAGGCATCGTTTGTACTGAACATTCAATAACACTAGAAAGTTAGTAAAATAGTAATGTAAGTTATTCTAGCTGTTTAGTTGTGTTTTTCAGTCAAAAACAAAACAAGTATTATTAGGGGATGTTTTAATCACCTGTCTTCGACCTTTGCTTTTTAGAGTAATAATAAAGGGCATCAGAAAGGATGTCCTCCCGATGACTATATTGCAGACATTTCTTTAGTCATCTTATGAAACAGTCTCAGGTATGACCACAATCTCTCTAGAACTTCCCCATCAACCAAACCCCATCTGTCAAGTCTTCTTGGGCTGTACATCATCTGTTACAGTGTGGATTAAATAAGCGAACGTTTATGTACATTTTAAAATTAAATAAAGTAACACATACATGTAGGTTCAGCGATAAAGTAATTCGGAAGAATACTGTTCTCAACTTGTGCAGTACAGTACAGTACAGTATAGTACATCACAGCACAGCACAGTACAAGTAATAAGGCTGTTAAAAATTACTTCCAATTAACAATACAGTACCTGACAAGTTGCTCCGTGCCCATACACATGAAATTGAGGGCAAGCTAGCTTTATACAATTAAGTAACTCAGTATTTTTTTGCTTCTATACAAAGAACGTAAATGAAAATGCTATAATAAATAATAACTACACTCAAATTTTCCAATACAATGCAGTGCATAACGGTAACTGCAAATACATTTAGTAAAGCTTCATAAAATATAGAATACCTTAAGATGTGTTTCAAGAAGACAGCATATATCGTACATAAAATGTATGGTTACGCCATTTCCAGTTTTCGCAGTCAAACATGTGAGCAAGTAAACACCATAGGCAAGTCTATAATAAATAGAAAGAATGCAGCCTCTGGTCTTTTAAAAACACAAACGATTGATTTCACGAGGACCTGAGAGATAAAACAAACAATTTCACGACGTTTCGAGCTAAAGCCCTTCATCAGGAGAGTTAAATAGATTGAAAATGAGCTTTGATACACGTGACTTCTTTCATTAGTTTTCACTATAAAAGCATCATACTGTATTTTCTCATATTCAATCTATTCAACTCTCCTGATGAAGGGCTTTATAGCTCGAAACGTCGAGAAATTGTTTGCTTTATTGAGTGGAATGCGTTAAGTGGAAACATCAAGTGGAATGTGTTAAAGTATTTATTTTGAAGAAGAATTTAATCAAGCAAAATGCTTTACAGCATAAAAAATAGTTATAACAATTACTGTAATGAACAGTTTCAAGAATTAAAAACATGCAGTTTACCAGAATCAATAAAGTATACCTTTCACCACCCTTAAGATTTAAAAAATCCATAGGAATGCCGTGTTTGCATCCCAATCCACAAACAGCAGTTTCATCAAGAGCATAATATTTGCCCTTAGATGTCATTTCAGAACCAGCCTGAAAATTGCTACATTCCTAAAAAAGTACAAAATTGTTACAGGGAGTGCTTAACGAGTGAAATTGTAAAGCATGAGAGTGCAGATCTTCTAAATACCGTTGAGTGTATGTGGTATCATTAACATTGTGACA